ATTTATGGGGCGCTGAGCCCTGACGAGGGGAGCCCCGCGCTCCACACCGCCCTGCCAATGAGCGCGCCCCGGGAACAGAGCGGGCTTTCACCACCAAAATCCTCCTCGGGCTTTGAGAGGTTTTGTCTTGCTGCTCACACAAAAAAGGGCTTTGAATGTTTTTCTGAGACCTAAATTCTTCCCAAAGAGAAGTGATTACAGAGGAAAAAAAAAAAAAAAAAGAAAAAAAAATCAGAAAGGAGTGAAACGGAGCGTGCCAGAGTTGTGCGGGGTGACACGCTGGGCGCTTGGCACGGCCATTCGGCTCTTCACCGGCCCCCTGTGCCGCAGGAGACCTTCCCAGCTCCCACCCAGACCAAGGGCAGCGAGACCCCCCCCTGCCCTGCGCAGGCATCCCGACGGCATGTAACGCTCCTCCGCGCCTGCCTGCAAACGGGGCGTCAGCGCTTCACCCGGGAGCGACGTGACGTTACAGATACCGAGAGATAATATTTGACATCATCTTATCATTCATCGCTCCCATATGCATCAGCCACCAGCTTTTTCCTCCGTTCTGGGTTTCCGTGGAAGACCGTCTTTGCAAGCTTCACCACGTCGGTACAAGTACGGGAATTCTGAGCCGCCCCCAGCCAGGGGGGACCGGGGAGCAGCACCACCGTGACGGCTGCTCGTACTGCGGCCGTGCATCGCCGTCTGCTTACGGCCATCGTTTCCCCTCTCCTCCCACTTGTTCTATTTATCGTGTTGCAGTCGCTGCATTAAATCTTATTTTTACACGGGGCGTTACCAGCCCTACACACAGAGAGACGTCAGACCCGATCACCGTTTGTTTTACACGCAGCACAGTCGCTGTCCGACGGCCCAAACATGGCTTTAAGGAACCACCTCTAGTAAGAGCAGATGTTTATGAAAACGATCGGGCTGTAAAGAGTAATTTCAAAGATTAACGAGATCAGAAAGATTACTGCTCTCCCTCTCCCAGGCGGCCCACGGTACAGGATGAAGACATTTCATAACACCACGAACCTTTGGGTTCTCCTCCCAGGTGATCAGAAGCTGGGTCCAGTGATCAAAACGGTGGTGAGACAGTTAGACATCCAACAGCCCCTGCCCCCTCTGCTACTACGAGAGCAAGGCTGGCTTCTCTCTGTGTTGTTTTGGTTTCCTCTTTATGAGACGGTGGTTCCTTTTGGACTGGGGGTTCATTTAAGGCTTCTAACTGAAAAACAAGACATGGAGTTGAGCCTCCATGAGCGCTTTGACCGAGGCCTCCCCTTAACCCGTCATGTTAAACCACCATCAGGATAAGGTAACTGGTCTGTGGAAGCATCCCAGCAATAACTATATTCAATATAAACGTCAGTGCAAAGTCAAGGCCTCTCAGCAGTGCAAATAATATGGAAATTTTTAATTAACCCCAGGATAAGGACTCAAAACAGCATCCTAATCTTTGATGTCAGGAAAATTCAGTGTTTCCATGGGGACAGCGTCTTCCCAGGCCCCATCCTCCTCCAGCAGCTCGAGGGGGCAGAGATCCACAACATTTCCCAGCCCCACACACCAGCAGCTGGATTTTCCTCCTCCTGCATCTCACCGGCACTGAGCACGGTCCAGCCCTGTCGGCTTGGTGGCAAGCGCTGGAAGGAGGATGGCCACCGCAGGCAGCCTCCACCCAGCCCTGCAGCTCTCCTCCATTGCCCAGGTGGCATCTGCCTGCCAGGGCCCCGGCCCAGAAGCGAGGAGCCAGATCGGCTGCTCAGAGAGCTTTGGTCTTGATGCTTTAGGCTGGTACGGGAAGATAAAATTCAAAGAGCACTCCGCTATTATATTTTTGTGCTGCAGAGCTTGGCGGTAGTTCAAGAGTCAAGGTGGCCCTGAGTAATCCAATTTAATTAGACCCATTTTAAACAGGGTCCGGACTAAATCAGACTAGACATAAGGAAGAAATATTTTATGATGGAGGCACAGGTTACCCAGAGAAGTGGTAGATGCCCCATCCCTGGAAACATTCAAGGCCAGGTTGGACGGGGTTCTGAGCATCCTGATCTGGTTGAAGATGCCCCTGCTCATTGCAGAGCGTTGGACTTGGCCTTGAAAGGTCCCTCCCAACCCGAACCCGTCTGTGATTCTCTGATAAATGACCTTTGAAGGTCCCTTCCCAGAAAAATTATGATCCTATGATTTTCAGTCATTCCCCCTCCCCTTTAAGTATTAATTTTGCCACTTCTATCTCTCTGCTGCCCACGTGCAGTTAAATTTGGAGTACACAGTTGCATCGTGACTCAACGCTGAGATTAGCCATTAACGTTTTATCCACGTAACCTCCTGGCTGTTTTCTACCAGTTGCTTTCTTGGAGTCACCGGGTGCCACCACACGCCAGCCAGCACCAGACCAGGCAACTTCTGGTCCAAGAACTGAGAACAGCCTAAAACAGCATATAACCTACCAACGCACTATAAAACTGATCTTCCTTGCAACTAGTGCAGCTAAGAAGGAGTTACGGGCACCGATTAGCAATAAAGGTGCTGCTAAGCACAAGCAGCAGCATCTCATCCTGCCTTTCTGGGCAGGAAAAGGAGGCAACAAATATGGTTACCTCCGACGGCCAGCAGCGCAGCGTTGCAGCTGGCAATCACAACTCATAGCTCTGAAACACTGCAGCAAAAAGAGAAGAGTTTTGGGTCTGTGCATGCAAAACTCTAAGTACGTATTCAAAGCCCAAAGAGCCAACCCTGGCAGCGCGCCCGAGTCGGCCACAAGCTGAGCAAACTGGTTCCGATTTGCCCCAGACAGTATTTATGAGAACTCCCCAGCGCTGGGAGCTACATCTCTGCTGACGGTGTTTCTAAATAAACATAGTCCATTCCAAATGAACTAAAACACTCAAATCAAAATAAGGGTTTAAAAAAAAAAAAAGTCTAAAAGAGTTTCTACGAGCCTGATTCTTGCGTACCAGAAGACAGAACAGCACTCACGGTCCTTTCTAAGCGAGACTGGGAATTGGGCAGCAGCCCCTACGCCCCTCGCCCACCGCTGCCCCCGGCGCAGGAGCGAAGCCATCCCCTACGCCCCAGCGCAGAATCCTTGCTACCAGCACGCGTCGGCCAGGGCTGGACCGCGACAGCATTTCCTCCTCTGGACCCAGCGTACGGCAGCGGCGGCTCCTCCGTGCAGAGCCCCTTCTCAGAGCGGGTCTGCAGGGACCAGCAGTTCCACCACACCACGTTGTGCACGGCTCATGGGTTACAGGCAACTGCAAACGCCCTTGGGGTGAGCTGCTCCCACACAGAATTATAGTTTTTGCAATATGATAATTCACAAAAACACACCCCAAAAAGGATTCCAGTAACAAACTGCACTCAAGAAAAAAACGATAGCTCAAAGAAAGGTTTAGATTAAATTTAAATCTGTATCTGTCATTCATTTGGAATGTTTTAATTGTCCCATGGCTAGTCAATTTGTCTCTTCATGTTTTTGCTAAGTTCTGTCAAAACCTTAGAAGAGAACATTAAATAACATGGATCAACAGCTCTGAATAATGAGGGCAGTCCTTTGAAAGCTAAATCCCAAGAAATGTGAGCTTCTCGCCTAGTAAGTTGCTTAGCTAGAACACATAAATAAATAAAGCATTTACACAACACTTACCAGGTTGAGAATAACTAGAAGCAAGTTCAGGCAGGTACTGGATTTTTCAAAGTAGTTGACTACAGGCATCAGAGGATGAACATCTGCCTCTTATTGCGCAAGTGCAAAGTTACCTACAGGCCATTAAAGCTTTACTAGTATCAGCTAAACCGGGGCTAATCTTGGTTTCCCGTTTACAAAGGCTCATAAGGAGAGGAGCAATACGACATTTGCACAATGTGTACAACGTACCCCCGTTATCGGAAAGTACATTTCTGCACCAACCCCCACCCTGTAAAGCTGACATAAGACTAGATGCAGGATGGAAAAGTGGTTTTGCCTCATTTTTCCAGGGAGCAACCAGAATGAGCTGAAGCGCAGGCTCCTGGCTGTAGACCGCAGCAGTTACGTACCAAGATGTCAAACATAAAAGTGCCGATCCTCAACCACGACCCTATTCATAACAGGAAGCGTTAGACAGGAGGGTAGGAACTTCCACAAGACTATGATGGAGCCTCCCTGTGAGATGCCAAAAAACCCAAACAAACCCAAACCAGGTAAAGAAATGAGCAGTTGACATTTGCTTTAATTTTGATGACTGGTTTTATGACAATTACTGTAAGACTCTGCACGTGCAGGCACAATGACAATTCGGTTTCTTATCCTAAGAATGGGCAAGACATGACAACGCATAACGGATGTGCCTACGCTGCACAGCTCAGAACGGTGTAAGAGAACCAAACAAGGTAACAGAGGAAGAACAGTCTATAATATCAGATTCCATAAAGCACAAAACTGTTTAATAAAAAAAGCAAAAACAAAGTTGGACTTCAAATATACCTTCTTCTGCAGGTCAACACGTGCAGTGCATCCCTTCCATTTTTTGCAAATACAGCCAAAATAAGCAGGTAGTTTAAGACTTACCTAGAGGCAACGTTACAACTGAAATATAACACAGACAAATTCCTCACAACAAACCCCAACTTTGACACTGTTCCAAGTGCAGAATGGTTTCAGTGTACAGGATGTGACAGATTGCAACGTCATTGAGCATAAAGAAACCCTTCACTGAAGAGCATCATGAAAGAACTACACAGCAAGACGCCCCCCCGAATGTCAGCGTAGGTCACGGAGGGGACAGGTCGGCTTGGGCCAGACCAAACCGAGAAGCTCAAGCGCAGCAACGAGACCCAAATTGCACAGATACGGCTAACAGAGTCCAGTGCAGCCAGCACCTATGTAAAGGAGATATACGTTGTCCTTACTCAAGGAACAGTTTTGGCACAGGATTGAAATATACAAAAAATACTGGCTGTTAACACGAGAATGTACAGAAATTATGTTTTACATGGTGGCCTCATTCCCTCCCTTTAGCTGCCCTGCATCAAATTAATTTTTGCCATTCAGCTGCTTTTCTCAACTCCTCTGCCCACTTCCTCACTGCCCCCACACGCAGCTGCACCCTCACCAGCCCTGTTCTTGACCCCACGTCACCTTCTCCTCTCCTTGGGCTGAAATATGGTGATGAGCTGTGCTCAGAGCAAGAGGCAGATCCATTAGCACTCCTACTCCCAGGGCACATTCTATAAAAACCTTATCATACACAAAATTTGAAATTATTCCAGTACATACTGGTCATACTTCCAGATGATGAGCAGCGATATCCATAGGTCTCATGGCAAAGCTCACGCTTGGCGTGTCGGCTGACTGTAGCTAGAAATCACAACTTTCCAAATGCTTCTAATATAAACAGCGCTTCAATGGATCCTTAAAGGCTCATCCATCTTTTTGCTCTACTACGCTATTTTTACTCTGTTAAGAGGAAAGCGATTATTCTCATTAAATCTTATTTAAAATTCCCTTGAAAAGTGTCTCTTTGGGAAAACAAAGAGCAGGATTTGGGGCTTCTTTTTTGATGGATACAAATACAGGGCAGAAGAGCACCCATTTTTCTCCAAGCCCAGGACTGAACACTAACATTACTCACCACTTGTGACTTCTTAGCTCCTTGCCTGGTGCATTATCTGTCTAAATATTAAGCTGGGATCTCTTTTATGAAAAACCACTTTGAATTGTTCTCTCAGAAATACTCGTGCAGATGTGGGGGAACCGTGACCCCATCAGAATTAATAAGCAAACTCCTAACTCTGGAAACAAAATAAGGAAATTTAGTGTATTCTGATTATATTTGTTGTCACTTCATGTATCATCTATCACTTCTATTAATTTGAGAAGCCTACCAATAGATCCAAAATCGGTATATTTCTGACATTTTCATGGAAAACTTAAGACTTTTAATATAAATAAATATACAAAAGCTTATGTGAATTTTACAGATGAGATGAGCAAAAGCATTTTACGGAGTCAGATAATTTATTTATGGTGAATTTCTGGCTCCCTCGGAAACAACAGAAGCAACTTTTAAGTTAGCCTCAAACTCAAAGAACATTAAAGACAAATATTTTGACAATACAAGGAAGGCACTTCTTGATAACATACAGACACTTAAACCCCTCCACAAGCTATAATAAATGGCACAAATTCCTGAAAACATTAAAGACAAATATTTTGAGAATACAAGGAAGGCACTTCTTCATAACATACAGACTCTTAAACCCCTACACAAGCTATAATAAATGGCACAAATTCCTGAACAAATTTTAAAAGTCAGAACAATATGCATATCATTAGTTTCCCGTATGAAAACCATATATAAATTTTTGGTTACTAATAGCTTCATGCTTATTTTCACATTTATTTTACTGAGGACAATATATTGTAATAATTTGTAAACAGATAAATATTTCTCTCTTAGCAGTAATTCCAAAGTTAACTGCACAAAAAAGTTATTTTGGCACCTTTCAACATAGTGTCCATGTAAACATTTCTTCCTTCCACACACACAGCCACCATCAATTTCTGTAGCAAGAGCCCTTTGGTAAATCATTCATACATACATCCATCAAATCAAAAAGCAGCTGAAGTGCGGTGAAATTAATATCTTAGGCTACGAAATCTTGGTTTCCTTAGGCTAAGCATCGGTTGTTTGATGGTAGGTTTGTTCTCAAATAGCATTGCTTCATTTTCTGTAGTTGGAAATCTATTCTGGTAGATCAGCGGGTATTCCTTCTGAAACTAGAAAACACAAATTCAAAAAATAAAATAAAATATCGGACTCCACCAAAAGCTCCAGCTGTGCAGGACTCGAGCATGAATCACCTTGCAAGGACACACATCAGCAGGAGGAGCAAAACTATCAGCAATGTAAAGTAACTGTGCTGTGACACTTGAGCAAAGCTGTAGCCCTTTGTGCTTATGAGTTCACAACTGGTAAACAGAGTCAAACAGAAATTTGTCAGACACTTCATCTGCTGTTGAAATGAGAAAAGCTTCTAATCGCATTTTGTTCCCATGGATTTTCAGCTGTTGTGACCAGAATAGTTCTATGAGCACACCGTACTGTTCTAACCGCCTGGATCTCTGTTTGCGATGACAGCCCGTGGTCGCTCACCACGTTGTTCATCAGCTGAGTAGCAGTAAAGCTGCTCATTGTTGGAGCAGCTCCCGCAGCCCTGCACCGTCCAAGGAGGGCCGGGCAGCCGCCCACGGGAAGCCACGCTGCCCAGCCAGCACCGGTATATATTCTGTTTATGCTTGGAAAGCTGTCTTTCAAGAATGATAACCATAAATGTGTTTTACCTAAATGGAAGCCAAGATTTAGCCTATTTTGAAGGTATTCTCTCAGGATAGCTAGTAAGCTTAAAAGGGAGTTACATATCTGCAGGAATTGAAAAGTGACTAAACAAAAATTTCTGGCTTCAGAGACATGTTTTTGACGTTTTGCCTGTTTCCTATGTAAAGCCTCAGGAAGGAATGAACAACGGTAAATGCATCTACACATCAGCCAAAGCGTTCTGCTGATTGAATCAACCTATGGAAAACGACAGCATTTGTAACTTTTGGTCTTGATACAAGTTGGACCTAATCCTCTGTTAAGTGCCACATGTCTGGCTTTCCCCAAAGCATCAAAATTGATCCCTCCAAAAAGTTGTGATTTATCACACCACTAGCTATCCCAGCACACATGGCAAGACTGTAACGATGTAGCTCTATGAATTTTAAAAATAAAACTTCGCTGACACATGGCCCTTACAAGCTGCTTCTGGACTTTGGTGGGAACTCATAAAAAATTTAAGTATGTACTTCAAGTTTTACTATTAGAGGATTTTAGTTTATTTCCTTCCTCCCCACTTCACCTCCTTAAAGTGCTGCTGTGTATCACTTCTTACTGCCTGCTTACTCCAAGTTTTAATCGACTGCAGGAAGTTTTAATGAACTTGTAAAAGGAAGGCTGGACTTTTGTTCAGGACCAGAAAGTTTTCACAACACACATGAAAGTCAGTGTTGCAGAGGCTGGGGGAGGAGCACCAAGGAGAAAGAAATGTGCTTGCTCTGAAAAGCTGCTTTTTCAAATTGGAGTCACAAGACTCGCTTAGGAGATTCCAGGACAAGTACAATACTATTCATTTGGTCAGAAATACTTGCCAAAAGGTTTTCTGAAAAAGAAAAACCCCTCCAGTATTAAATCCTGCCAGAATTGCTGCATTTTAGCTTTAGTATTAGGCAATATGTTAGTAGGCCATGGAAGTGCCAGATAATCTTGAGCAATATACATGTTACAAAACAAAGCTAAGCCCACAGAAATGAACATTTCAGAATCGTGAACAGATACGGCTTGACCTCTTCAAGCAGAAAATCACTGCTTTTATTGCCAATTGATTTTAAGCCCATCTATAACATTTTAATGGTAAACTTGTATAGCCAGTGCACCACAAGAAACGGTGCTATATTTCTATCCCACGTTATGGAATGGAGAGCAGATCTTGGACTAATTTCATACTGGTTTTAAATCACTGTTTGAACACCACTACTGCCAGACAGTGTTGAATGCTGTATTAGACACTGTCTTTAAAATGCCAATCAGAGCACGCCATCAAAACACATAGCTCCCTGCTATGAAGCAAGCGTTTCTCTCCATGCAGTCTGCCCTTGCTCTGTACCAGGGCCTAGTGACGGAGATCCTGCGCTCACAAAGGCATCTTCAGAAGCAGATGATGCATCCATCGAGTTTCTTACCTGTTTTAACTTTTTCTTTTTGTCTTTCACAGACAAGTTTTTATCTTTGATGATGTTCTCCAAGAGCTCCGCCACTGCAGCTTGAGATGTAGAAACCTTTTGTTCTTCAAACTCCTGAGAAGTTATTTGTTTGCAGTACGAATATGTTGGCAATACGGCACAAATTTCTTCAGTGGGATATTTGTACTGAAAGAAAAGTTGAAGAAGGGGTCTGCATGTACTCAAAGGATTATGTACTATTTCAGTAAGAAGGCACTCAACAAATATCCAAGCATACTTACATCAACATCACAAGCTGCAAAACATAACGTAGCTATTATCTACGTTCGCGCTAACAGTTTAATAAAAGTTTATGTTCAAAATATAGCGGTTTTATTTGCAGCTTCCCCATCCCACCTTCAGAAGTAACAAATACTCCACAATTAGCAAATGAACTTAAACTTTGTCATGCCACTGACCTGAGCCATCCTCATGTATTCTATGTGATCTCGCACTGCAATCTGCAGGTGGGTTGGTACTTTAAATATTTCTTGTTGGTGGTCCATTAGAAATGAAACTAATCGTGTAGAAAGTAGCTCATCAAGATCTACTTCTTCTGCACAGCACAGTACGCATCGAGAAAAAGTCTGTATCATCTGGAAGCGTTTAGCAGATCATTAGTACGTGAAGTCGAGCGACTTCCCTTCTTTCCAGCCTACACAGTGGCACAACGAACTTTCCATTACCAACTTTCATTGCAATCTCTCTTGTCTGCACCACCAGTTAAGAGAGGAGGAAAAACTATTAACTAATTTTAAACTATTAACTATTTTAAACTATTAAACTATTAACTAATTTTTTCCTCATCTGAAATAATGTAACTTCTTATAACATTAGACTTGTACTTTTTTTTTTAATTAAACAGTACTTTCCGTTAAGAAATACATATTTTTAAAGAGATATTAATAACAAAAAGTCTTCCCCTGTAGAAAAGTGTGCATCTTCAGTTAGCCATCTTGAAACGAGATGATTAAAAGAACCTGCAGAGCCAACCTAACCAAGTTCTAATGCACATCAAGATCCAATTTTAAATAGCTTTAAAAAACATTTTTACAGCTGTCGTATTTCCAGCTTTTAGTAGGCTTGTTTTAAATTAGTATGTGCAGGTGCTTTGTTGTTTTATCTAATCTTTTTGACAAAAATCTTTAGTCATTCCAATGAAAGCTTAAATTCAGACCTTGAAGCTAGTCTTTAAACTCACTAGGCAGAGAATTTACTTCTTTGGAACTGTTTCTGTCATAACTTCACATACACAAACGTTTAGCCCAAGAAAGGTTTTCTACAGACACTTTGCCAACACCTTTTAAGTTAAATGGCAGTTGAGTGAGAAATCAGACTAAACAATCATTTCCCTTCTCCTCCCAAAGCAAACAAAAGCAACAACAATATGTGAAATATATTAGGATGGAGACAAGAAAGTGCTTGCTTCAAGTCAGATTTTTGTAAATCACAGAATCCCAGACTGATTTGGGTTGGAAGGGACCTCAAAGCCCATCTAGTTCCAACCCCCCTACCATGGGCAGGGACACCCTCCATTAGACCAGGTTCTAATATTCTGGAAATGAAAAATCTGCCCATTAATCACTATTTAATTGCAGTAAGACAAGAACTTCAAGTAAGAAATACTGCTAGTATTCTTAGCATTACTCCAGCCATATTCTTAAAACAACAGATACGCTGCACTCGTGATTCTCTTACCAAAGAACGTGTGCCCATTGCATCATGCAGTCGTGGCATATCCACGTTTTCACTGATCCGAGAGATCATACGCATTAGGAGCTGAATCTTTCTACGATTTGGTGGTGGAAGCAACAAACAACATATCTGTAGTGCTTCAACAGCAATTCTTTCTAAATGAGGCTGGAGGAGATCTACAAGTTAATTGTAAAGACAGCTGTCATTAAGACTTGAACCAAGTTTCAGGATATTTTTATCTCGATGCAAGAAATTTATTTTATAATGATTAAAAAAAAAGATGTTTCATAGAAATCAGCTGTAACATGGTAGATAATGTTATATAGCCTGTTTTTGTGTGGTCATCTTCAACTTGCTTCATTACGATAAGTTGCTGGTACACAATTAAGACCATAATACAATTAAGAAGTGTCACTAACGTTATTCCTGAAAGTATTTCCAGAAAATGTGTTTCAAGGACCAGAAAAAGACATCTCCTCTAACAGACAGGTCTGTGCAAATTCCCTGCCTTGCTCTTAGTGTCTATGTCAGAATTACTCATTACTTACCTGAACAGAAAGGTGAATTACTGACATATCAAGTTTAAGACTCCAAAGATACTGCAGGCTGCTATTTGTTAGCAGAGGTATGAAAGGCTATCTTTAGACAGTGCAATGCAGCAACCAGAGGTCTGGGGTTTTTTTTTTTCTAACCCACAGATCATGTCATACGCATACCAAAAAACCGAGCAACAGTGCTAAAGATTAAGGAAGCAGAGATTAGTTAGACAACACAATAAGGCAATACAACATGCTTTAGAAAGCCATCTTACTTTGCGTGCCAGTCAACATATAAGAGTGAGTGAAAGAGTATTCTGAGAGTTCTGTGGTACTTTTGCAGAGCCTCTTTTTGATGGTGATATCAGAAACCTCAGTCCCGATGTCCACCAAAGTAGCCACACCAGAGGTATTAGGATTTTCTTGCCCACAAAATCGAGATCTTGGCTTTACTGTGATTTCAGCAACTGGCATATTAATGCTAGCACAACTTTTAGAGTTCCTCTTGCCAAGTAAACTCAGAGACCTGCGTATTTGCTTTGATCCATGATTGTCATTCAACAGCTCTTTATCCTGAAGAGTTGAGGCAGACACTCTCTTGATACCTTGGCTTTGTTTTTGACATGTGTTATCAAAACCAAGCTCCAATACAGAATTAGCTTTATGCTGATGTGGTAGTGATTGTTTTCCATTTCTTATGCCCAGGATGGTGTTCCCATCACTTTGCCCAAGGGAATCTGATTTTCCTTTATTACATACATTTGAAGTAATATCTCCAATTCTTTCCAAAGAGTAACATCTTGTCCTAAATGTTCGAGGTGGATCTTGTTCATTCCTGAAACCTTTAAGATTTTGACAACTTCCTCCTATTAGATTCTCAGCACCACCTTGCTTACATGTCAGTTTATATTGCTGCAATTTCTTTGCGCACTGCTTTTGAATAGTTAGCTCTTCTGAAGAAGACTTCCTGGAAGCTTCACATTCTTTCTTTTTTTTGTCAGGCTCTTTGCAAAGTAGACTTAGAAGAAGACACTCAGTTGACTTGAAGGAGTTCAAGTGAAGAATTTTTGAAGGTTGTGGGTCACATTTCTCATCTTGGACAGAACTTTTTCCACTGCATATATCTGGAATTGTGATGTAGCCACACATAACTATCAGGAAATGAAATAGAAGTTAAGGTGCAAGTGGTATGAAAATGAACAAGTTCAGAAAGAAAGCTGCTAACTGAACAGAGAAGACAACAAATATAAGACACTAATTTATAGTTGACATTGTTAGTAAAACCTAAGAAAAATTTAGCTCAGTCCAAAAGCAATCTAACAAGATAATTGCAACCCACATGCAAGAATAAAGAAAGTTAACACATTGCAATAGTGAGGGACAGGAACAAGCACATACTTTAAAATTATAGTTATTGCATATTTAGAATGTTAACTCAGACAGCAATTTGTATAGGATATCATGAGACAGAACTGCATTTCAATTAATATTGCAACACAGAACAGTAGCATTGATGATCTTCCTCAGATTCAAGGTGCCATACAGATTAGGGAGTCAAGGTCTGCTTTCACTTACAAATTTGTTCCCCAGTTGATATAAACTTATAGCTTGCACCGATTATTTCTAAATTCATACATACCTAAAATATTAACAAAAAGTTCATAGTATTCAAAAGTGAGTAATGGTTCAGGTAGATTGAGGAAGTAATCAGCAATCGTTCTGAATACATCCCGTTCAAATCCACTGTAAGTTGGTTGGCTCATGTCATTATTTCTAGGCCCTAAAAAGAGGTGAAGAAAGAAAATTCACAAAAAGTATTTACTCTCACAGTTCCGTTATTAAAAAAAAACCATAATTAGGAAAAAAAAAATATCAACATAAGTTTGTTCTTGTAGGAATGACTGTTTCACAAGACAAGAATCATGTCAGCAATATACAACTATTTTGTTTAGTTCAGCACTGTTCCACTTGAGAGCAAAAGTAGTATAATCTGTATAGCCACTGAGGAGTTGTGCTCAGTTTCAACAAGCTGTTTCACACCAAGAAAATAAACTCATTTATGCCCTTTATAGGTTCCTCAGCAAAATAATCACAAAATTCTGGCATTTTCCTTCATTTCCAAACTACGGTAATCCCAGTTCTCCCACAGGGAGCTCTAGCTTCCAGATCAAGCAGCTCATGCTATGACCAACTTTGAAGAATGTACTGAGAAACTGGCCAACATATAAGTGTCGTTTTGCACATAGACCAAACAGAGCCAGTGAGCGTCTTTTCCCTCTGTGGGGACCTCCTCTCTTTACAACTCAAGTGGTTCACCAAGAGAAAGTTTTGTTCACCTCTACTCCCATGGTGGATCTTTTCTTCAGAAGTGGACAGATAAACAATCTGATAATCAAGAGATCTGGTTAATAAACCTTGACCAGGTTGCTACAGACAAGAATGAATGAAAGGGGTCCTGGTACGAATAAAGTTTGACATTGTGTAGATCTTCTAACCCTAATGTTGCCATACTCCACTGAACTCCTACAAATGAGATAAGCTACCTTACAAAGACAATTCTAATGGATTAGGAGATGGCAGTTTAATTACAGATAGAACCAGGGAAAATTTAACTTTTGATATGATCAAATTTCATAATCACATTACCACACACTACACTAAAAATACAGTAGAGCAGTATTCCCCCTGTCAGTTGTAAGCATTCTGCGTTTTCACTCTGCTAAGTAACTACTGCCTTAATCATTTGGTTACAGTATAGCCAGCAGATGCAGAGATAAAAATCTCCACTTGAACTAATTCACTCAAATTAGAAATTGAGAATTCAAATACCAGAAAGCTTGCTTGCAGTTTTCATCTCACAAAGACCTATTAGTTCTAAATACAGGACTGATGTGGGAATTAAGGTAGGAAACGCTCGGAAATCAGCGCTCAGCTGTATTTTCCACTTTGATTTAAATCCACTCGCCAAGCTCTTCCCTGTCCTGCTTTTCCTAATAGTGCTCTTCATGTAAGAGGCTCTATGCATTTGGGAATGCAGATGAAGAAAAAGGGTCACATTGAAGAAAAAAAGGGAGTCATTTTCACAAGAGCATATGCTGCAAACGGAACTTCTGAAGCCACACTAACCCTGCATGGACCCCTACCACAGTTCCACCGAGCAATTAGAGATATACGCAGATGTACAAACAGACATCATCCAAACATGTAATAGCTAGTACAGCGTTGAGGGCAGATGGTGAAGGAGATTGCCAGGAAGAGGGGCAGGAGTTGAACAGCAGGGCAAGCACACATATAACAAGAGCTCAGATTTCATTTGAGACGCACTCATCTATCTCTACCGTGCCCTGTTAGCTGTCTAAAGAGGCAATTTTACAAAAAAAGAAACAAAAAAAAAAAAGAAAAGTCAGTCTAATTGTCAGTCTAGTTCTCCTCTGCTTCTCCTGAATATTTTCAAAGCCTGTTTCACAAAGATGCAAAGTTTACATAATCGCGATCTGTATGTTTGTAATACAATTTCAAACACAACTGACAAAGGAAGCCTCAAGGACAGATTCTATGAAGTTTCATAAAAATCAATGGCACTGTAAAGGAGAAAGACTATTAGTACCACACAGGTCTGCTACAGCACGTGCTGAAGAACAAAACCATTCCTTTATTAGCAAGAGAATCCACATCAGACTGAGCCATTAGAAACTGAACTTCATTAGGTTCACTGTGAAAGGACGTTCTTTCCCCCCTCAATGTGTGAAACCTTGTGTTAATTGCATTACTCCACAGTAAATACTTTCCCAGCAGTTCCAAGGCAGCTGTTCCAGTACCACATTAACACTGATGCTTTAGGTAACTGATTCTTCTTTTCTAACTTTAACATCATGTCTAAATTTTACATTTAAGCACACACACAAGTAAAACTAAACAGAAGCACTAAGTTTTCTGTAACTTGTAACCACTTTCAGTTTTGCTGCTTGACATTAATACCAAATCATGGGATACGTGCAGACTGACTCTCAGTCTGCAATGAAAGTTCAGTTCCGTCACAAAACGCATTTAACAGCTAAAATGTCTGACTTTAAAAATCCATCTCGTCTACTACACAGTGATTGGTAAGATCTCTGTTTTCCACAGCTGACCTGTAGCTATAAAAGGTGACTTACTGGGTTTTAAGTATAAGCTTTTTCTAAAGACAGTTTGAAGAAAAAAGGTGGGGAAGCAGAGAAGGAGGTACCAGAGAAGCTATATTCAAGTCCAGCATCCAAGAACTTTTCCTTCTGTTGTCATGACGAGTTTAGTAGACTATAAAGCTGACTTATACGAGCACTCTTATCTCAAACCCTTTGCAAAATGTTGTTTGATTTCTTCTAAGACAAATAAAAGACTAACCAGTTTTCTGTGAATTGGCCTCCCCAGTTCAATATGAAACATAGGAACTGTTTTAGACCAGCTCAAAGCCAGTAACTAGAAAAGGAAAGGACCTTCACTCCTGAAAAACTGCATTAGAAGAAACCACAGAAAGGTTTTACCCAACCACCCAAGTTTTCTCCCTGCCTGACTCTTTGTTAATAGGAATTATTTTCATAAAAAACCAGTCCTTAGCTTTTTCATGGCCTTGGACAGCCTGCTTCCACTGAAAGCTTACAGAGTTAATTAATTCTCCTGTACATTTCATGGATTAATGAACACTGAAGCCCCTCTTCTTCCACTAATTTAATCTGTTCACATTGCTAAAAATTCACATGCAGAATCGGACAATGCAGCCTAAAACCAGGATAACTAGACTACTAAAGGACTGATATTTTGATTACCTGAAATACATCATCTTTAATGCGTCAACTTTTGGGTTATGTTTCTGTGCAATGATTTGATATGGATTGCTGTCATTGCTTCTTGACATGTCTGGGCACTTAGAGTTTATTTGAATTTCCAAAACGAAACATCGTAACTGATCTGAACATGCAAGTATATTTCACTTTCAACTCTCAAAATAGGTTTCTGGAACTTAAAAGCTGTTCAGTGACTTACAGTATGCGAGACATTTCATAGCCGACAACACCCAGTGAGGGAGGTCATCTAAAATAAACAAGCAAGTAGGTTATTTATACATAAGCCCAAAAACTTAGTAACTAATACAAATAACGGCACACACGTATTAAATAATACCTCAAATACAGAAGATCAAATTTAAACCTTATTTTAAATATTGCTACACGTGTAATTGAAAAGTGGATGCAATACACCTACAAAACCCTCTAGACAAATATACTGAACTGTACTGTAGTTTGGGAAAAAAGCATCAAAGACTATGAAACATATTACTTTAATTATTGTTTGTTTGTTGTAACAACACCATACAGAATCTTTAATCAAAACAGGGAAAAAAAATCCAACCCAAAAAACCTTACCCGATTTGTTCTGCAAAATAACAACACCGTGTTTGCTCGTGTTAGTCATGTTGTATATGACATACTCAGGAACTATCTGTGTTGGCTGCAAAACTTCGTCCAGAGATGGGAGGCCTAAAATGGTTTGCAAACTGTAGGGAGTGAGAGAGCAGATGTTGTCTAAAATGTTTGCTAGCAATGACTGAAAACAAATTCTTTCCGTATCTATTCAAACAACAGTTACAGGATAAGCTAGTTTGCTGTTTAATAAATGCTCGCTTCCAGAAGGACAATGTGAGGACACATTGTTTCCTGGGACGAACACCAAAAAAACAGTAAGAAAGAGCATCTATGGTACTTAAAATATACTTCAACACCAGCAACAATAAATTTCAATAAATTTCTTAAACGCAACAATCCGATGTTAACGAATACACTAGAAAGCATACATAAACAATAGTTTGGAAAAATATTCAACTTAAAACATAATTTTAAAAATTTCAAAAAAATGTGCAAGCCAAAAGCTTGATCAAGTCATTACATACATTATAAAAAACATCTTCTCCTATATGTGCTTTGTGTATTACTTACTGTATTAGAATGATATTTCTCCAAGTTTCTTGCACATATTCCTGGCTTATTTCCTTCCTATGCAGCGTGTCTTCCTCGTTTTCTTCTATATCAGGTTTTGTTTTTTCTAAATTTTCCTGAAAATGAGTGGTTTATGCCGTAAGATAAACAAGCTTCTTAAGATAATTCAAAATTAAGTAAAAATTATTCTCAGAAGTCTAGGGCATTCTGCGGAACATTAAATTCCAAACCGTGATCCTGGGAGGAGCCTTAACAGTCTCAGCACTGAAATGTAAGCATACCCAACTAAAAAGCAGAAGAGGACACTGTGAAAAAGACCTGATCAAACTCAGAAGGCAGCAATTTAAAAGGGAGAAACACATCAAATCCAAATGTTTTAGTAAGTGTTCTCCTTTAGGATTGCAATCTAAATTCAGGATGCATGCACACACACAGACACACACAAATCTCAAAAGAACAAAGGGCCAAACACTCACATTCAATCTTTTTCAGAAAGTAAGCAGAACAGTAAATAATTTGTGCCTTTTATTTTCCCTAAACAAAAAAGATACTAAGTTTCAACAAGGACATACCGTAGAACATTTCTAGAACTCCATCTTTCAGCCCTCCCAATATTTAAAATATTGGGGCAGGGATAATTCTGCACTGAAGGAGACAAAACAAACAAGAAGAAAACACCCCCCCACCCCCC